TGTCAATAGAGGGCGAACTGGATGTAGTACGAGCTTCTGCCGCTAGGGGGTGCGGCCTACATTCATAGTGAATCAGTGTGCGAGCCGGCATCATCGAATTAGCATTTGTTTCTTAGTTACGGGCGTTTTGGTAAATTGAAAATTCAGCTAAAGGGAAGGAGATTTGAGACGATAGAAGAGATTCAGGCAGAATCGCAGATGGTGCTTGACAGGCTGACAAAGAAAGATTTCCAGGGATGCTTCCAGGCTTGGCAGCGGCGCTGGGATCGTTGTTTTCACTCCCAGGGGAACTACTTCGAGGGTGATGGATGAATTTAATACCTGAGATAAGTGTACGGGTTTTTATACGCGCAGTCTTGAAACTTTCCGATCGCACCTCGTAACTAGGGAAGTGAGGTCCGGTTATCGTGTAGGCCAATGAGGATTCTGTCACCGCCTATCCTTGACATCGGTTGTGTTCTGTCCGCGTCTACGTGTTACACATGTTGATGACGACGTTGCGGGCATTCCCGATAAAAAAAATGGGTCTTTAGCGCGTATTTTCAGAAGCCCCCATAAAAATGTTACTCTCAGATCAATATTGCCTAGTTGCAAGGCTTACACGTTTGTATAGCTCATATATCTCGCAGATTACGTAACACTTGGTAATTCCACACAGAAACAGCTAACCATGCGGGTATCATCAACAGTATTAAGAATGTTTTTCTTTCTTGTTTATTCGTCAGCTGACAACATATCTGTGGAGTAGAATTCCACTTTCTCACGAACTCCGGTCCTCAGGTACAAACGACCCAACGTTGGGTAAACTTTGGCGTATCGTTGTCTACATTGCATTTCTCTAAGTACAAGGTGCGTAAAAGTTTACCGACGTTTCAGAGGTATGTACTACCTACATCAATATCCCTGATGATGGGGGAATCATTTTCGTAATCGTCACCCACAAAAACTAAAATTTCTGTGAACGTCTGTATAAGACACGGGCTAATTTTACTCGGTTTAAACCACAGAACACACCCTATAAATTTTTGTACTTTGATAGGCACTGATATATTCACTTTTCGTGTCCAAAAAAAAAAACCATAGCTCTGTTCCGAAGCACAGAACCCTCCTTTGCGTTTAGATGACTGTTTCGTTTAGAATACATCCATCTTCAGACTCACCGCCGTGAAAATCTCAAATCCTACATGTTTTGTTTAAGGTTACGTAATCGATTTGTTGTACTTTTTTCCGAAACACCCTGTACTGAATCGAACGAGATGAGTAAATAAACATTTAAAAAGGGAGGGTGATCGTGGCCTATTGGAAGGTACTGTCCCCGAATTCGTTTGCAAAACAGAGTAAAAATAAGGAAATTTTAGATTAATAAAAGCTAGTAGCTCAGTCGAGATTCAAACCGGGTACTTCTTCAAGCTGTCTAAAGTGTTACAGCTTCGATAATCTCCTTAGTGTATACAAATCTGACTTAGAGAACCTGTAATTTGTTTATAACCCTGAAACTGGAACAGGATTATTATAATTTAGAAACTCTTCATTTTGGTACAATACCAGATTCGTCTTTAAACACATCTGAAAGGGGGACCCCCCGTCTAAACGACAGATGGAACATATGAAATATGGCGGACAAGGTACAGTAACTTAACTTAATCTCCACTTAACACAAATGATTTCTCTTGGTAGCATCTGGTATAATCATATTCATTTTGCCTTATTCCTTCCTTCGCCACAATTTCTCCAGTGTGTACCAAATAAACCACGTTTGTATGTGTGAATGCTGGCATTCTTTACGAACATATGTTTCAAATGAACACTGGCACTCAGAATGCGTGACGTCCTGAACAACTGGCGCTTTGTTAACTGAGACGCTCGTATCTTTTTGCCTAGCCTAGCGATTGGGAGCCATCTTGTCAGAACGAACGGACTAGCTACACCACTGACTTCCCATAATCTAGGACAGTGGTATTCAACCTGAGGTACGCGTACCCCCGGGGGTACGTGAAATTAAATTTTACAGCGACAGGTAACAAGCTACAAGTTCTAACTCGTGAATCGCTCATCTTCTCTATTACGATTTAAGCCGTGCAAGAGAGAATCCTTGTGGCTAACATTCTACATAAGTCAACTGCAGCATTAGACGTATACATTAGATTTGCCTCTCTTTAGATAGTAACACATATGGATTTTAAAAGGGAGTTCTAGACGTCTTCAAACATCACACCACCATCCTCTACATCAGTGGTATTCAACCGTACGCGAAGACATCTTAGGGGTTTCGTGAAATTTTAAAAAAATTATATTTTATGTTAAACACTGAATAATCAGTAATGTAATTTATTTAATTTATTTTAGATGTAGATTATATACTATGTATAACTTGAATTATACACCAACAACTTTGGGGGTACAAAGTTGAAGAGTCTCATTATTTACACTCTTCGCCAGATACGTTCAGAGTGATCAAACTAAGGAGCACAGGATGAGCGGGGAATGTAGCACGTATGGAAGAGGTGAGAAATTAACACATTTTAGTCAGACGACCTGAAGATAAAATACCACTTCGAATACCCAGCCGTAGATGACAGGATAATATTAAAATGAATCTTAAAATAAACACAGTGAAAGTGTGGACAGGATTAATCTAGTTTAGGATAGGTAAAAGTGGAGGAATTATAATTAAATATCAGGTTCCATACAATGAAACAATTTTCTTGACGATAAGAGTGACTTTTAGCTTCTGAACAGAGACGAAGTGATGACCTCCTCATTACGTGTTAATTTCATTCAAATGCTCAAAACTCATTCCCTTCAACGTCTGATATTTCTATTCTGTTAGCACGATCGTGATATTTTGACAAAGAAGCAGGCTTATAAGATCGATAGGCTGTCTAATTTTGAATCAGTTTACCAATTTTCACAAAATTTGGTATGAATATCAATTGGTTAACACTCGTCTTTCGTATTCGGGAGGTTAAGGTTCGAATCCCCGTTCTAAGACTGTCTGTCCTGAGATAGGCATTGGCTGGAGGGACTGAAAAAAACCATGGATAACTTCAGTCAGGATAGCCGGTCCTCAGACAGATACCTGAACCCAGGACCACCCGATACGACGCAGAAATGCTAACTACTAGACGGCAACCTTCAGCGGAAGCCTATATTTCTTATCAGACATGAAGATTCTCCAAAAAAAAACATTTACCATTACAAAAATCAGGGCACATTTATCATATTTGGGGATGGGATGTAATCTCGTTAAATGTAAAGACCAGACAACACACTCAGTTCTGAAAATTCTACTCAGTACTCACCTGAATCCGCAGTTCCTCGTTATCAATTAGCTTAGTAAATTGAATAAATGAATGTTTGTCCGAAGCAATCCATATTCCAATGCCAAGAACCACAGTTCCAAACCCCTGCAAAGATAAAACCATGTTTCCAGGGTCTAATAGATACAAGATATTCAAAGACAATTTTAAATTTACGAACTAAAAAATTGAAGAAAAAACACATTTACGGGATTTCTAAACCTCAACACATAAAACCGATTCCGTAGCATTAAGGTCTCCTCTCCATTAAAATCACGTAAACCAGCCCAAAGTTAAAATAAACTTCAAAGGAAGTCACTTGTCACCACGACATACAGAGTCCTCTGGTTGTAGATGGGAGGAAAAAACCTTCCAGATAACGAGTAAGATGAAAATACACGCAATTGTGGACAGCCGAAAAGGGGCGATAACCCAACTTGACGGCTGGAAGGATGTCGAAGAATTTCTCGCGGTAAAAGTATCGTAACCCGTTATGAAATACTACACAGAGCCTTGGACTAGGACGGGTAATTTTTGGACCGACGTAAACAACTTAAAACGAGCGTGAGGTATCGAAAGTGGAATTTTAGGATTTTTTATAAGTCAGATTCATTGTTCGGAGTAGCCACCCCCTCAACTTTTGTAGCCAAAGTTTCATTTTATATAACGCAAATGTTCACTTCGGGTCAAGGCTTTCGCCCACTGACTCACGTAGATGACAGTCGGAAAGTTTAAAGACTGTGTCAATAGAGGGCGAACCGGATGTAGTACGAGCTTCTGCCTTTAGGGGGTGCGGCCTACATTCATAGTGAATCAGTGTGCCAGCCGGCATCATCGAATTAGCATTTGTTTCTTAGTTACGGGCGTTTTGGTAGTGCATTACACCGACCCTCCTGCGATTTCGGAATGGCGTGTGCATCAAATTTTGCCAAAGACTCGCCAAAACGGCTACGGAAACCTATGAAATGCTAAAGCAAGCATTTGGGGAGTCCGCAATGGGTCGTGCACAAACTTTTGTGTGGCATTCACGTTTTAAAAATGGCCGAACCTCTGTCGATGATGATGACGAGCGTTCTGGACGACCATCTTCGAGCACAACGCCCGAAAATGTTACGAAGATTCGGCAGGCCATTCACGAAGATCGACGTCGTACCATCAACGACTTGTGCGACATTGTTGGGATAGGCTATGGGACCTGTCAGCTGATTCTAAAGGAACAACTCCACATGCGACGCATCCTGTCTGAGGACCAGAAGCAGAATCGACTTCTCGTTTGTCAGGAGCTCAAAGATCTTGCAAGAACCGACCCCAACTTCCTTTCTAAGCTCCGTGTGACTTCTTCCTCTTCCCAAAGATGAAAATTCAGCTAAAGGGAAGGAGATTTGAGACGATAGAAGAGATTCAGGCAGAATCGCAGATGGTGCTTGACAGGCTGACAAAGAAAGATTTCCAGGGATGCTTCCAGGCTTGGCAGCGGCGCTGGGGTCGGTGTGTTCACTCCCAGGGGAACTACTTCGAGGGGGATGGATGAATTTAATACCTGAGATAAGTGTACGGGTTTTTATAGGCGCAGTCTTGAAACTTTCCGATCGCACCTCGTATTTCGGTTTCGGAACAGAATAATCGTATTCACGTATTAAAGAATTAAAACAGCCAGGAACTATAACAAAACACATCGTACTTACAAAGAAGACGAAATTGAACAGGCAAAGTAGGTACTTCGCCAACGAAGTACCGCAATCATAAGGCATTTCTTGATGTCGGCGTTTTCCGTGTAGTCTGTTGTAATCCTTCATCAAAATACTGCGTCTGTAAAAAAAAAAAAAAGTTTCTTATCTACAAAATAATTTAAGATAGTGTAATCGCGTCATATTGTGAATATTATAACAATTATTTATTTTTAATCCGTCTGATCACAATATTTAAAATTTCTTATAATTAAGATAATAAATTTATAACTTAATTTATATCTTATATGCGTCATGTTTGTGTTTGATTAAATATATATTTATTTTTACAGTCCATACACAAACGTTGAAGTTTATTGATGTTGTTAAGATTATATAATATTATTATAATACATTGCATTAAATATCTAATAATTTTAAAATATTGTAAAATTGATAAAAAAAAACCTGAAGACGACGGTATTACCGTCGAAACATGTCGTTTTAATAGATGAAAAGCGCTAATAATATAATGTAAAATCGTATGTACGATTAAGAGCGCCAAATATAATATTTTATACAGCAAAATGTTTTAATATTATATAATCTTAACAACATCAATAAACTTCAACGTTTGTGTATGGACTGTAAAAATAAATATATAATTAAGATAATAAAATATCATTCATGTTCCTTATCGATTGATCGATTTACATTTCGGAACATTTACACAACATGTTTCGGTTTTTATAAAACCATCATCAGGTGTAAGTATATCTAAGAACTTAAAACTCAA